ACATTTGTTGTTTGGTTTGTTTTTTGTTTGCTTGTTTTGTTTGGGTTTTTTTCAATGGAATAGGTACCTTAGCATGAGAGGACAAAGTTATGAATTAAATAAAATCCTCTCATGTTATGCTATGTCTTTTGCTTATGCCTGGGAAGATAGATCTGGAAACCAAATCTTTCCTAAGGATAAATCGGTAAACATCTGTCAGAGGAGCGACATAACATGACTGTCACCTGACTGTGTACTCTGGAGGGCTGCTGCTAGTGCTACAGAAGGAACCAATTAAGGACAGCAGCAGAAAGCAAATAAAAATGTTACCATATCACTTGGGCCAAACCAAGATACTGCTGTCCAATTCTCCTTATCCTTTTCCGTCTACCTAAATTGAATGTACATGGTTTCTCTACAATTATTCCCATCCTTACTTTTTTCTGAAATTTGCGTTGGAGAAACAAGAACCACTCCTTTAATTAGTGTTCCATGTAAATTTTGTTACAATCTTTGTGCTCACAGGTCTTATATTTTTGTGATACTCCAGGCTGAGGAGGAGGGATCAAATTTAGATCCTCGCTTTAAGGGTTCTCTTAAGAAGTGGTTTTTCCAAATTAGATGGGATGTTCTTCTGAGACCAAGCACTGTGGGAACTGAGCGTGCATGTGGTATCAGAGCAGAAATGTAGTTTTGAAACAATTTAAAAGATGCTGCTATCAGCTGATTCAGGGGTATGAGGAGCTTTGCACAAGGAAACCTCTTGAAATTTTTCTCTTTTTTGTGAGGTGAGAGTGGATTGGAAAGAATACAGCTTAGAGAACTACTCATTTGTCAAGGATGAGTTTGAAGAAAATGAAAACAGAAGAATTTCTCTTCTAGTATTGCTATATTTCTCATTCTATAATATTCAGTATTGCCACATGGATATGCAGTCAGTACAGTATCATCAATCCACATCAGTTTTGCCACATCTGATGGCACTGGCATAGTAACCTGAGAGCTGAAGACTGAGGAAAACAGTTTCTTTCTTCCATTTAACTCCTCTAAAATTGTGATGGGTCACAGCAGTTTCATGAGTCATGTTAACATGCCAGCTTGTCACAGCTGTCATGGATCCCTCTGAAGCAACCTTTGCAGTGTTCTGGCCCTGCTGCATGGTGGAGCAACTGTCATCTGGGACAGTAATGTCCTTGGGGACATGATGGAGAGAAAACAGAGAAAGCCACTCCATTATTTTTCCCTTCCTGTGACACCCCTTAGCTTTGAGTAGTATTAAGCTGTCTTTATGGCTGCTCAGTCCTACAGAGAATATAATATCTATTTTCAGAGGTTCTGAATGAATTTGTTTCTAGGTTAATGTGAAACTTCCTTTCCTGAGTTTCCATGTGTACTGCAAGGGCAAGAGGAGAAATATGTGACACTGTGGAAACTCAGAAGTACGACCTTGTGGTTACAGGGAAATGTTCTGAAATTTAGGAATACTTACTGAGCATGTGGAATTCCGGAAAAACATGTCTTCAATCTGATCTCATCTGCTTGGTCTGGTATAGGAAAATGTTAGGAAGAAATATTGCATGTGTTTATTCTGCCCTTATACTCTTCTGTACATGGCCTCTCGTGATTGTTGCTGGGTGGGTTAGATGGCACTGGCTTGACTCCACATTGCAGTGTGCACGTGATACTGTTATGATTGCTGGTTTCTTAGGCAATATTTTCTAATTTTACATACACATTTTATTTCTCTTTATGATTATTCCTTATGAGGGTTTTGCATACGTTTCTTGTTATCTTGTTGATTTATTGTATCTTCCCATATTTGAGATATTCTTCATCTTCAGCAAGAGATGGTTTGGAGCAGTTAATCCTCTTTCCTCTCAGGCAGCACATTAAATTATTTACTTTTGAGGAACTCTTTCCTAAGTAAATTTTAACTGTAGTCTATGAGGGAAGAAGTTTGTACCATGAAATGGGAATCATAACTGCATCTGTAACACATCTAGGACAAAGCTGATTCTCCAGGAGTTCAACTAACAATACTTCCAAGTTATGCTAAACATCATCATCAAACATTAATATTTTGCACATCTAATCTAAAATGCTTGAGGATAAGTCTTAGGGGAATTTGAGATTCAAGTGCTCTTTGGGCAGCTGCTATTCAACTACGGGCATGATGTTTCAAGAAAGGAATTTACATGGCCACAGTTCATTCCTTGTTCTCTTCTTTTTTTCCTGCTCTGGCAAATGAGTCCTTCTAGGTCTCCAAAAAGAAGTATCATTAAAAAATTAGTTTCATATGGAAAAGAATGAAATTATTCACCTGTTTTAAAGTTTTGCAATTTGGCTCAAATATCCTCATGTCATTCCTTGCTATTCCTGCAAGATATTAGGTAGAAGAGCTGACAAATGAAAAGTCAGTAAGCATTACTAGGGACTGGGGGACTGATTTTCCCAGTTTACTTTTTTAAAAACTCATTAGTTTCATTACAGTTACATCTAATTTAAATCTGTGTGAAAATCAAGCATTAAGATTGCCTTTTATATTTAGTCTTTATTTCTTATGATTTGAGAGCTATTCACATATGATACTGTCAAACTAATGGAGCAAATTGAAGTGACCATATTTAATGTCGTTGTATATTTAAAAGAAACATTTTTAGTTTCTAAATTTAAATTTAAGACTGTCCTAAACTTAGTTTACTCAGTACATTGTAAAATGTAGGTTTCCTTATTTCTTTCTTATAAGTTGAACTTTTTTAGAGAAAGAATTGGAAGTTTTTCCATAACCCAAGACTTCATAAACACTTGATCGAAATGGCAACCAGAATAAAATCAAGCACTTCCTCAATAACACCTATGCTTAGAATCAAATTACTACTACTGAAGTCTACAGCTTAATTTGAAAATACATTTTACCTGACTGTAATACGTTTATTTAAATCATTCGTGAAAATGAGATCAGAGGTAAAATGTACATGTTGTTGTTGTTGTGGGGCTATTTTTGTTTTGTGGTTTGGGATTTTTTTATTTCAGGATTGACAAAACACATCCACAGCTCTCAGTTTT